CATGATAGCCTACGTACTGAAGGGACAACTTCACGTAAAAAAAAAAAGAAACAATTATAATTTTTTTCAAAGTTATCTCTCCATTTCTAATACGCACTGTAATCCCATAATCGTTAACTTGCAACAAAAGGGTATAGTTTTTTTTCTATTCTAATTTTCACCAATAACAGAGTACAAGAGTAACTCAAGGTAGAGTGTTACTGTCTGGTTTTGTTTAAGCGTTCAAAAGGCAAAAGTGAAGTCGATGAGGTTATGCGGGAAAGATAACACTTATCCGTAGACTTCAAGAGGTCAAGATTGTTAGGAATGGGAAAACATTTTGCCGGGAGGTTCTTCCACAAAGCTGCAGTTATCTGGTAGAAACTGTCTGAAAGGGACTTACTCCTTATCATTAGAATACGAAAGGAAAGGGGATGATTGTTAGAAAATGGTGCAATGGTGCCAGCATTTATCTATATTACCTAATCAAAAGTAAACTATCACAGCATGAAAATCACACCAAAAACACCTGTTTTTGTGGGCTATGATATGTTTTTAGCCACCCTTAATTACAGCAATTTGGGTTTGTGTAATAATGTCTCTTCTTTTTTGTCAGACAATACCGTGTTAGTATCAAGCTACTCTAATCTATGAACGATAGTTGACTTATATTTTGCAATGAAATTTCACAGAAGTAAGAAAATTATTGTATTTCAACACAGGCAAATAATAGGATGGCATCAGTGTGGCAAGTCAGATAGAGAAATTGCTAGGTTTTTCCAGGTTAATCATCAAACGGTTAACAATATTGTCAAAAAATTTAATGAAGAAGGGCATTGACGTGTGGAACAACGTTCAGGAAGACGAAGCATCGTGTCTGAGTGAACGAAAAGGGCGCTAAAGAAGGAAGTCATCAGAAACCGTCGTCAGAGCGTCAAAGATATCGCCAACAACATGGAAATGTTGATATATGCGCTGAGAAAGATTCGGAAGGAACTAGGCTATCAAAGAAGAATTGCAAGAAAGAAGCCTTTGATTTCAGCGGTTAACAGGACAAGTTGAGTGAATTCGAGAGCAAAAATTGTGAATTTTGGCAGCCTGTAATTTGAACAGATGAAAGTAAATTCTGCCAGTATTTGAATTCGAGACAGGTTTGTGTTTGGAGAAATCAGAATGAGATTTGGAACACTGAATGTCTGCAGACGACTGCGAAGCATGGAAGTTTTGGAGTAATTTTGTGGCGCGCTGTCTGTTTTGGAGGGAAATCTGAACTGATTCTTGTTGACGAGCGGTTGAATGGTCCAAAATACTGTCAAATATTAGAGAAAGGACTACTCCCACTATTTGAAATCAATCAGATTGACAGGAATGTCTACCTTTTTCAAAAAGATGGAGAGCCATGTCATACGAGCAAAGTAGCAAAGGCATAGAAGAAATCGCAATAACTCAAGTCACTGAAAATGACTCATGAAAATGACTCCGAATCTGTTGTTAACTGGATAAGAAATATCTTGTAAATTTGAAGACCTCCAAAACTAAACAGATATCAGCTTGAGAAAACCCTTTTTGCTCCCCCATTATCATGACCTATATTAACTTCCAGGAGAACAACTTATTTTGTTTTCTTTGTTTCACGGTATCTACTGATATGGTGTCTTGGGGATGACGGCAAATCACATCCGCGTCCTGGGTATGGCGATAAACAACATCAGGCAGCAATACATCTGATCAGGGGGTTTTGTAGAGCGTGGAACCACATCTTGATCGCTGGTGTTCCCAGGTCCATCCAGGCTCGAGCTAGTAGCACCTCTTAGGGTCAGAGCTATCTGCAAATAGTTATGTCCCGAACTGGGATCAAAATGATATGAATTTTTTTTTAGAAAAAAATAAAAATAAAATATTACCAGCAATACATTTTTTTAAATATTACCTGCAATAAAAATCTTGTTTGGATTAAATAATCCATTGAGGTTGTTATGCTGTAAAACAAACGAAACCAATCGCATTGGTTCAATGTGCAGTCGCAAACAATTATTCTCCTCAGAATCCATATAGCACATTAATAAATCTACCTTCCGAGAGTGTATTGATTATTGCCGCCATATCTGGTCTGGTACTCCGGTCATATATCTCAAGATTCTCGACAAAATCCCAAGAAGAATCTGTAATGCTATTAATTCTGACTTGGCATCTAGACTTCAGTCACATTCCCACCAACGTGACGTGCCTTCCCTCAGTTGTTCCTATGAATATTTACAAGGTAATGGCTCTCCATAGTATCCCGACCGTGTAAAGTTAAGCGTACTACGAAATTGGCTACTAATCTAATTGTTTTACTATTGAAATAGATAAATGTAACCGTAAGTTCTATTCTAATAGTTCCTTCTCTCGCAATTCTCACCGTGGAACCCTCTTCCGATTTCTTTCTTCTCCGTTAGCTACAATCTTAAAAATTTTAAAATGAAACGTCAATGACAATGTACAGTCTTCCTGTAACTGTTATTTTATTGTATTTTCTCCTCACTAAAATTTTATCATTCTCTCTTACTCCCAGTAACTCCTTGCTTCATAGTGACATTATCACCTTGCCTGGGGTGAATATTATATATATATATATATATATATATATATATATATATATATATATATATAGAGAGAGAGAGAGAGAGAGAGAGAGATAATGTTTAGTACTGTTACATTTTCAAGCATATTCCTGTGACAAAGATAGAGGTTACTCTATTTCAAATAAGAGAAGATATCTTCAGTTTTCAAAATCACGGGTTATTATGAAAGCTTTGGTGAAATATTCTTATACATGTATGTTGGAAACTCTTCTTAGATAAAAGATGAATTGCATACAAGCGATTAAGTCTTCATAGTCTTTAGATAGCACAGTTGATTCAAGCTAAGACCACAGCAATAATATTCTAAAGAATTTATTTTTTTTTAGTTGAAGCATTGTCAGACGTTAAATTTTTCATTAGTATTTGTATAATCTAGAATTCATGTTTCATCGCAACAACGCGTTATTTGCTCTGTCTTTTGTGGAAGTGGAGTTGTTTCTTTTTGCCATCTTCGCAGTTTTTAAGTCACAATATTCTTTGTGTTAGAACGACTGTCACCCAAGTCAAGTGGAAACTTCAGTTTCCTTTTCAATTTACCATTTATTGTATTAATACCGAAGTCTACTTCCTTAGTATATATGTAATCAGTAGTTTGACTGGAAGTTTCGACGCATTTGATTCTTATCTTGTCAATAATCACTAATTTCTAAATAGATGTTTGACACCAAAACGAAGTCGTATTAGATTTAAGCTTGACGACCCCATAAAATATACAGAACTCTTAACCACAGAATATAGAAAGTACACCAGAGATTTACATCTGGTTCTAAAATCGTTAAATTGATTGAAAAGAATTAATATTTTTTTATAAAAAAAAAAAAAGGTTCATCGTTGACAAGGTTACTTAGAAATCAACATCTGTTGAGTAGATAAATATGACGAATAACGAGATTTCGGACCAACAGAGATATGAGATTGAAATCTTGTGAAAACTCTTATATCTTAAAATTAGTTCATTTCTTCGAATTCAAAATACCATATTCGCGGGGAATGTCTTCTCGAACGCTCTATTTGTAGTTTATACACTTCTATAACTTGTCAATCGACACAAATTCACATGTCAAAGCATATGATTAAATTTTAATGCATAAATCAAGTGTAATTTGAGATTTAGCTTAGCTCGGAACAAAGCCAATTGCAAGAGGAAAAGACTGTGTTGCGCCAATTATATATGTATGTGTAAATAAATTTAGGCGTTCATCTATCAATTTCGAGTATAATAAACAGGATAAAGAAATAAAAAAATCAGTGTGCTGCTGTCTGCATCCAGGCAAACCGTAATGAAAGCAACTTGGTGGATGTCTTCGTTGGCTGTTTGGTCATCAGTCAAGCACTGAAAATCTCATCTATCTCCATGCCATCCCCACGTTTTCTCCTTCTCTCGCTCTCTCTATATATATATATATATATATATATATATATATATATATATATATATATATATATATAATAAAAAGGCTTAAACACAAATATTCCTGGTCATAATTTATTCCATTGGAATCGTAAATAAGATCCAAATCATCAGACCTACAAATTCAAAATGAAAACAGAAAAAAACAACTCCGGAAATCAAAACAGAATTTAGAGAAAGTGTAAGTATGAGGAGGAGGGACATGAAACCTTGAAAAAATTTTTTTTTTTTTTTTTTTTTCTGAAAATATACATGTATGGGAATTTTTTATATATATTTTGCATATGTATGTATATTTTCCACTAATATTATCTATCTATCTATCTATCTATCTATCTATCTATCTATATATATATATATATATATATATATATATATATATATATATATATATATATAAAAGAAAGAGACCACTTTAAGGTTCCATGTAATAAATTATTTCACCACAGCCCTTTTAATATTTTGTTTGGAAGTAAAGTCTGATGATCCGCAGTCCTTTAAAAGGCCTGTGGTGAAATAATTTATTACATGGAACCTTAAAGTGGTCAGTTTTTATTTAAATTATTTGCTCTGGATTTACATTGAGCTCTCTGGATTTTATCCTCCTTAGGTTTACCCATACGGATTACCTAGTTTTTCATAAACTAAATATATATATATATATTTAGTGAGAAAGAGAAAGAGGGAGATAAAGAGATAGATGTATGTATGTATATACATATGTGTGTGTGTGTGTTTCGGGGAATTATACTAAGCTATTCATATCAATCGAACAAGCTGTCGATTTGTGTGAGCGTGCGTGCTTGTCTTTATCTATCGATCTATCTACTCATTTTCTCCATCTCTGTTCGTGCTTGTGTGTCTGTATGTATGCATACGTGTCTCTGTGAGCGCCCGCGTGTGTTTTCACATGTAAATGGACTCCTTTTTATTTATCGATTCATCTTAGACTCTTTGTACGTATGGACGTATCTTTCTAGCTACCTATGTTCCATATAAGCCTACTCATATCTATCTTAAACTACAAAAATCTATCTATCTATCTATCTATCTATCTATCTATCTATCTATCTATCTATCTATCTTATCCAGGACAAATATTATCTGTCGTGCTGGTTCATGTTTATAGCGTTTTCCTCCAACCACTTTCTCTTCCTTATGTTCTCTTCTTTGTTCTCTCTCACTCCCTCACTTATTTTCTCTCTCTATCTCTCTCTCTATCTCTCTCTCTCTCTCTCTCTCTTTCCTCCAAACTCATTCAGATGTGCGTGCGCAGATACACACCAACGCACAGATATACATTCACAAACAACACACATGCACGCACAATTATTTGTTTTAAGGAAGATTAATTTAAATCAGTTATTTTTCTCAAATAACGTTCCAGAAAAGCATATTTTATTATTTTATTCTGAAAGAAGAATTATGTTATGTTGGCAGATAAGTCAATAAAGAGGAATTTATCAACTTTACAGAAAAGGTGAAAAAATCCACATATTTTAGATTCAGTTTGAAATTCGTCAAAGTATTTTCCTTATTAGTAATATTAAATTTAATCTATTAGCTTGGAATTAAAACGAAAATTAAATCTTTAAATTAGATCTTTTTTCAATTTATAAAATGCATTTTAAACATTACATATCTCTTTATTTAAAGGTTTTCTGAGGAAACATATCACTTTTATATTTTAATATCTGTTAATCAGTATTTTTTAACATAACGTCAGATATCAAACGTGTGTACTTATCCTTTTGCATTTACTAGGTATTTACAGTTATGTGCGTTTATGAATATATTTCTATGTATGTTAAAGCGTGTTTTGTATGTGTACGGATGTATGATTGTGTATGTTTTTGTGTGGGTGCTTGTGTATGCCTGTGCTTGTTATAATCACTTTATAGATTTTTTTTTCTTTTTCATGCGTAGTTCTTAACTTTCTCTTTGTTTCGTTTAACTTCTGTCTCGCCACTCTTCCTCCGACCCTCTGTGTGTGTTCATGTCTAGTAAACATGTGGTATGTTCGGTGCGTGTCATTTGCCTCTGTGCGTCTGCATGTCTCTCCGTGTCTGTGTGTCCGCTTGTCTGTCTGTGTGTCTCTTTCTTTGTTTCCTTCCCTTGCCTGGGCATACGCGTGCCGTTGTTGTTGTAGCAGTTGTTGTTGCTGGTGTGTGTGTGTGTGTGTGTGTGTGTGTGTGTGTGTGTGTGTGTGTGTGTGTGTGTGTGTGTGTGTGGTTTTCATTCTATCGTTTTTGTTGCCGTCGTTGTTGTTGTTGTTGTCTGTCACATTTTCCTTTGTTTTCAATTCTACCGTCTCACTAGCCTTGTCAAATACTTTGCCTTCATTCTTCTCTTCCAGAAACTTTCCCTTTATTAATTTACTGCTGCTGCTGTTGCTACTACTACTACTACTACTAATACTACTACTACTACTAAAAATAATAATAATAATAATAATAATAATACATTTTCTTTATACTACTAATACTACTATTACTACTATTGTTCATTACTTGCCCACAACCTATGCCATCATTATTTTTACTCTTGTCGACATTTTCTACTGCCAACACCAAAATTGCTACTACTACTACTACAACGACTAGTATTATTTTACTTTGTTACTGCTGCAAATACCAGTAATAGATGTCCATATGATTTTATTACTGTTTATGCTACTACTACTACTACTACTACTACTACTACTACTACTGCTGCTGCTGCTGTTTACTTTTTCTTTTCTATTCTATTTTAGCTTGATTTTTTTTCACAAACCTCAACATCTTATTAATATACAAATTCTAAGGAGATTTTTTGTTTTTGTTTTTATGAATAGGTATTTTGGAGAAATGCAGAAAACCCTACGCACACTTAGGATATACCTCGTGAGGTATATACAGATAATCATATATGGATTATTATTATTATTATTATTATTATTACCTGTAATATTTCAGTGTGTACACACCTTTCACTATAGCCTCCTTCTTCCCTTTCCCCTCTCTTTCTATCACTTATTTCTTTATTCAGATCCAAACTTGGTATGATCTTATTGACAAAGACCACACTATCTTTAGTTGAACTTCTTTCGATACTAACAGGCCGGATATCTCTATATACACAATTTATAAACCCCGTGTGTTATGCTGGTATTATCATTCGTCTCAGTAAAATGGTATCAGCAGCAATAATAGATGAAATGAGTTTATTGTGGTTCTAATTCTTCTATGATATCCTTCCTATAAGGACGACGGCGATCATGGCGCTCCATAACTTCCTATTCCTATTCTTTGCTCTAAGCAAGCTTTGTCCCCATAATATCCCCACTAGTCCATACTTTACTATCCATTTACAGTCACACTATCTCGTTTGGTAGATTATTCATTGTTCTCCTTTGTCTCTTCAATATGCATGTGATTGCCTTCATTATGCATGTGAGTGTTTACTTCACTCAACCGTCTTTCCTCATTGCGCATTCCAGAAATTTCAACTGTCTTTTGATGATCCTAAATATAAGCATACTTTTCGTTTTCATGTTCCTTAATCCTTCCTCGTTGCTCACATATTCCGTCTATGTTAGTCTCAGAATTCTTCTATAGAACATAATCACTGTTGCCTCAGGATTTATCTTCCTTTGTTAGGAGAATGTCCCACATTTACTGATATTTAGGTTTCAGAACTCTTTCTTCTTTTATTTGTTTTTTTTTTTTTGTTTGTATTTTTTTTAACGAAAGTGTCCTGTTTCTTAATACTTTGTCCAACTAGAAATTATAAACTTTTTCTAATTATATAATCACAAGGATGTGCCACTTCGTCTTGGCTTACCCGATAAGCCAAGGGGAAGTGGCACATCTAACCGATCTTGTTAGGTAAATCCTGGCTGAGTAGTGAGTTCGATCCCCAGTGGGCGTTCCTTTGTTTTACGTTTGGGTTACATGTGAGTAACGCTTAGTAAATCACTTTAACCAAAATTACTACAGCAACACTAAATTCTAGACTAAAAGTTAAAAACGCTTTTCTTCGTCTTTATCTATTACCAATGCTGTATCACTTATATACCTCAGTGATTATTTGGAATGATTTATCGAATAAGCATCAAATTTCTCCACCTTTCCAGGAAGCCGCATGTCTGAGTTCAGTGTGGCGACCCATGGGCTTACATTATCCAGCTTTATCGGCACTTCAATTTTATACGCTACATGCATCAGGGGTTAAACCTGACCAATCCCCTTGTAGGGCAATGTGTAGGTTTTGTTTGGGAGGTCAGCTCACTTCTTGTTCCGGAACTGGAAATTCGTTCTGCCCTGTGGAACCGACTCTCAATAGGATGTTTCCCCGATCATTACATTCATAAGCCATTCAAGGCCCCGGGGTTAACCGTTATCTTCCACTTCTATAGACGCAAATGGCCTTCTAACGTAAGCCTCTACCACGAGTGGCCCCACCGGGCCTTGTAAACGGTGTGCCTTACCGAAAAAAAAAAAGAAGATATTTTTATAGGCTTGCATATAGTCTTACGATTTTTGATACTGTGTAACCCGGATATAAGAGAGTTGTCGGGACCGGAGAAGAAGTCTCTTATATCCGGGTTTCTCTTATATCCGGGTTTGGTCTATTTTGTTTAGGTAAGTATGGCTCTAATTTGGGACCAGAGACAATTTCTCTTATATCCGGGTTTCTCTTATATCCGGGTCTCTTATATCCGGGTTACACTGTATTTTGAAAACGTTATTTTTATGCGTAAAACTCTATGAAGATGACGACAAAAAAGTTACACGTAAAAATAAAGTTCTATGAATGTTTCTAAATAAAATTCGCATTATTTTAAAGAAATAATTATCGTAAATAAACATTCTCACATTTTTTCTCCTTTGTTATTGAAATCTTGTTTTAAAAAATCATCATAAAGGCATTATATCTTCATTTACTGTTTTCATCTCACAATACGAGTCGGAAGGATACTATATTTACCTCGTTGCTATTTTCTTTCCTACCTTCTCTTTAGTTGTATTATTCTTTTCTAAATATAGTTTTTTGTTGTCATAGTCTCTTCATCCTCGATACTGCTACTACTGAATATGTATATTGGAACAAAATTCAGACATCTTCTTCTTTATCATAAGTTTTGGTAATAGTGCTAGCTTCCTATCGAAAAAAAAAAAAGATTGAATAAGTGATTTTACATCTGTATAATTATAATTGGTTTTTAATTGTCGGGTATTGCGTCATTTTTAAGTGGTCGGCGTTGAACCTTCTCGGAGAGAAACTTCTCAAATAACCAAACATCAAATTATATATATATATATATATATATATATATATATATATATATATAATACTTTTATGGTCAGTGCCCGTCGTATATAGATACAAGCCACCTGATTTAGAATAGTTGTTCACCGTTGAAATTATTGATAACACGATCGTATATGGAAAAGACGCTTCTAAGATTTCCAAAATATTACCACTCATTTCGTTTATTTTATTTACTGGAAACATAAATTCTCTTATCATAACATGTCTTTTGTTTACTGAGTTTGGAAGCCTCATATGCACCGCGTCTTTAAATAATTCATTTAAATTGAAACGCATAAAATCTTCCTCAATATTGTTCACAGAAACGGTACTCAAATCAATAAAGTCACACGTGTAAATCTGATGATTATGAACATGTAACGAAATATGGGATATTTTTACGCACATGGACATTTGTAAATTTTAAAGGGAACACACACACATACATATATATATATATATATATATATATATATATATATATATATATATAATCGAACTATATTTAACGGGAGAAAATGTTCGATATTGGTGAGTATTTATTGCTATAAAAATGAATTGATGAACTGTAAAAGGCGTGAAACTGATAATCACTATGCAGAGTTGATTTTTGTGCCCATCTGCCCTCTCTCTCTCTCTCTCTCTCTCTCTCTCTCTCTCTCTCTCTCTCTCTCTCTCTCTCTATATATATATATATATATATATATATATATATATATATATACACTTACATCGGACTATATTCATGTATACAAAAATATTTTTATTTATATTTCTGCACTAGTTATCTATTAAGCGATTTTTGGCAAAAAAGTTCTACTAGCCCGACAAAACACATACAATTCTCATAACTTTCACGAATTTGTTCAAGTGTTTTATTATTATTATTATTATTATTATTATTATTATTATTATTATTATTTTATATAATGCCACTCCTTCTTCCCTTTTTTTTCAAAAAATCTAGGTGAGTTTAATAAATGTCGTTTGAATCAAATCTTGTTAAATCAGGAGACCATCACAGACACCCACACCCCCATATATATATATATATATATATATATATATATATATATATAAAACAAAAATTGTTATTCATATTGTCGTTTTACAGATAACTATATCTGAAATTTAACCTACACACAAACACACACACACATAAATATCGAATGTGAGTGAAACAGATACATGAGATTTTATAACTTGGCAGTATGTATGTGCCTTCCTGTGTACATGTGTCTGTGTACGCTTACGTGTGTGTCTGTGCTACATAGTACAGAGTACGAGAGAGTACTGAAAATTTATGTCACCCTCCAGACTAATTTATGCCAGCAATTTTGATAGAGCTGCTTCGTTCTTTCTGACATTTATGAAGTATTTACTTTTCCATTCATCGTAGCAGTCTTCACAAAATTAATTGCATGTGTCAATAGGCACCTCAGCAGCGCAGACAGCAATCAGTGTCAATGCAAAACGAAGAAAAGTTGAACCAATTAAATGAAGAAAAAATAAATAAGTATAGTTTGTTTTCTCTTCCTTGTACAGCTTCCGTAAATTTCATTCGTCACCTTAGAGCTATAAATAGGCAAGATAAGTTTGTGTTTAATATTCTAAGATCCAATGAAAATCAAAACAACGATAAAGTATGAAAGACACAAACAAAAGGGAGTGCATATTCATTAAATGCTGTACATGTGTCATATAGGTTAGTACGATAAGCTTTTAAAATGTTGAGTGCAGCTATAAATAAATATATATATATATATATATATATATATATATATATATATATATATATATATATATATATATAAGCATAAAGTATATAAAATATATCTTAGCAAATTAAGTTCTATTCAGGGATCGTCATACTAGGTCATATGAAAATAAAACCTATCCTTACAATCTCTCATCAGACGGGTAAAACTTAAGTGGCTTAGGTACTTACATTTAATATTTTTTTATGTTTTTTAAAGCTCAACAGAGTAATGAATACTTCTACAGAAGCCTTAATTTTTAATATTAGTTAGCATTGTCCAGCTATAAGTATGTTTAAATCTCTGTCTGTCTGTTTCTATCTATCTATCTATCTATCTATCTATCTATCTATCTATCTGTCTATCCAACATTTTTATAAGTTTTCATTAATCAGGTACTTGATCTAAGCTTTCGGCTAACAAGGTCCATTTTCAGAGTGGTTATACGGACATTTAAACAAAAATATCCGCCATCAAATATGATATTCAGTTATGTTGACATAGACGATTGCTACGTGACGATAACGGCCGCGGATTATCAAAGACCCGTCATAGATCCAAGATGCGGTTTCTATGACGTCGTGCCACGTGAGAGACCGAAATAGTAACAACAGAATCATATGTCTAGATGCAATGTAACAATAGGTTGTGACGTTTCATAAAATATATATATATATATATATATATATATATATATATATATATATATATATATGTATATATGTATGTATGTATGTGTGTATGTGTGTGCGCGTGTGTGTATATATGTATGTATGGTGAAGGGGCCAAATTATTTTCCGCTCTTTCAAACCCTCCCTTGCAGACGGGTTTTCGCAAGCCTCTCACTGCATTATCACTATTTACATGGAAATTGCGCAGACGAACTGCATTTCTCAGTTCCACTAGTCCTAACCTTTACGACTAGGACCCGACAAGTTACGCGCATTGTAGCGACTGATCTTCATTCTCTCCGGATTCCATTGTTAAGAAGTAAGTTCCTCTCGAGCAGCTTCTTCCTGCAAACTACTATTGATGACTACAATCTTAACCTGTTCAATTCTAGGATTAACCATTATCGTACCCGCATAGATTTTGCCCGTTGCTCTACAAACTCGTACTCCCGCGCGTTGTAAACTTTGAACCTTACAGTATATATATATATATATATATATATATATATATATATATATATATATATATATATATATATATTAGAGGAAAACAAAAATGTCAACTTGCCAAAACCTAAAACTCTTATGCAAATAAAGCCTCGAATAAAAACGACAATACCGAAAAAAGAAAACGAAAGAAAGGCCTAAAAGCAAACTTACCTACCCAGTTAAGTAATGTGCTCGCCGCCATGATTGTCTAGACCGAGCAAAAAACGCTTACCAATGTTAAATTCTATGAAGGGATGGCTCTAGTCGTAACTCGAGTTCCTTGGTAATTCGGCTTTTCTAGTCGTTTGATGATCGCGTGAAGCTTGATTTACGACTAAAGTCATCCTTTCATTGTGTGTATATATATATATATATATATATCATATGTGTTATATTTATATTTGCTCGGAAAAATTGATGTTTTGCTTTGAAAATAGGAAGAAAAATCGTATTATTAACCAAGACTGGACAATGAAATTAAAAAATTGAAATCTTTCCATGAAATTTTGCTTTATTTTTTTGTATTTAGCCTTTAAATCCCAATTGAAATTTGTTTGCAGGATTTTTTTTATTCTTTTGCCTCGTAAAGCAAAAAAGGAAAAAAAATATGCTTGTCAAACGAACTTGATGAAACGTTATAGCCCAAGTGCAATATATATTCCCTATATGCGATTAGATGGATTTGTTTGTACATATTCTTATATTACTACACATGTTTCCGCTGTATTTTGTCTTGTTTTGTTTTGTTTTTTCCGTCTGAGAGGTAATGCTAAATTTGCGTAAGTAATTGTGTTGGTCATTTTATCTACGGCTCACAATTCTATTTTTACACGCTTCGCATTCATTACTTTTTCATACTTGAGTTCGGCTGTAACATCGTTTACGGCTACTAATATTTTTTGTGGTGCCGATGCGATAGTTGTCATGATTTAATAGCCGTTTAAACACAGGTAGCACTTACAATTATAGTAGCTTTAGTAGTTTTTGTTATAGTAGTATTCAGAGAAATGGATGCTAATTGTAGAACTATAATGTGAGCAGCCTCTGAAGTCCAGTCGTTTATTTCTGGACACAGCTACTGGCCTATTTCTAAGACATATTTATCATCCTAGTTTTTCTTTCTTTTTTTCTCCCCTATTTCTGCTCCTCTCATAGTAGAGAGTATGATTGTTTTATTCCATAACTGCTTTTTGCATCGGACATCTAAGCTCGTGTCTCGTCTACCATATTTCACCAACTCAAAACAGTAAAATAGCGAATGAAATCAATGGATAAAAACACTGAAGAAAGTTATAGAATTTTAAAAATTCCATATTAACATGGAAAATAATAAGATAATAATTTATTAGCTTATATGACACACCGTATTAATCAAACATATTTCCCTTGGCCTCACGGCTTGGGTTTATATATGAATAAATAAATAATTAATGTGGCATTTATTCTCTTTGCATTGTAAGATTTGAAACGTGTTATTTTAAAGTTTCTAAATAAAGACAGATTTTATAAGATGAAACTCACTTGAAGTATTGAACATATATGGATAAATATATCCTGAATATATTAGTAACATCGATTTCATAAAACCATTTTGGGGGTAAATTGTTGATTTATATGACACTATTATTATTATTATTATTATGTTTTTTCACAGAGTGAATACACCAGGTACATTAAGTTACCTGTCACACCATCTCAGACAAGCAAAACATTCCTCAAAATATGACTGGGGCTACCATACTAACTTGGAGTCATCCAAAAGAGCCGATTTTTGGATGACTCCAAGTTGGTATGGTTGCCCCAGACATACCGTTTTAATGAGATTGAGTCCAATGTGCCCATTACCACTTTAATTACATTGATATTCCCTTCCTGCAATTCAACACAATCTTATCTCAATTTTCAAGTGAGAATAGTTTGTAATTTTCTCAATCACATTGTTTTCTATATTTGTGTCGTTTGGCATGGCGACATCGATAATATGACATTTCTTGGTACCTTTATCTAACACAATGATATACGGATGACGATTGTGTATCACTCTGTCTAAGAATCATAGTTCCAGAAAATGTGGGCCTTCCAACATCTTCAATTGTGCTGCAAGGGACATGCTCGTACCAATTTTCGGCAGCTTGGTATCCATACTTTCGAGACAATAACCAATTTACATGATGGTGTCGCTCGTCCTGGTACCTCGTGTTCTTTTTTATAACCACTGATCAGATGTCATATTCTCTGTGTTCACCACAAAGCCTTATGGAGGGATTTGATATTTATGGTATTTTATAGTAGCAAAGGTTTGGTCTTGTTCAGTTTCAGATCACGACGTTTCAGTCATATCACAAATGGTGCTTTCTACTTCATATCTTATGTATCTCTCTCAAAATGGCCACGGCATCACATTCCTATAACTTCTTCCGCTCTATTTGCCTCTGACTTTCTCTTGACTTCCCTCTTGCCAAAGAACTCAACACAAATACCAATATTAATAATATTATTGTTGCTGTTGATTGTAAGTGGGGATGCAACACGACAAAAAACACAGGTTGCGGGACAAAAATACGTAACCCAGTATGCCCATCTTAAAACCTAGTTTGATAAGGATATAGAAGGTATATACATCACATGTGCACGATCTGGCGACAGGTTTTGACGCCTAGTTAGACATAACTTCATGTCAGATAGCTCAGTCACTTTAGACCTTCTTTGACTGAAGAATCATGATGTAACTCCCAAGTTGCATTGACAAACTCATCATTCAGAATTGAAGCAACCCTCTCGACACATTGATATGAGAGATACCCAGAGAGGCACAGCCTCTGGTCGACATTGTTAATTGATTATGGTCAACGTCGCTGCCAGACAAATAGCAAGCAAATATATAGTACAGTATCTTAATTCTTCAAGATATGTACATTTTAATACCGTCAATCAGTTAAGATCAAAAGGTATGGCCTTTAGGGATATTGAGGGCCCTATAGTATGCGCTGAACATCTGAGCCTGCCGATACGCTATAGTCATCTCGATATAATAATAATAATAATTATTATTATTATTATTATTATTATTATTACTTACGCGGTGACGGACTGAAACACCGGAAATAATTTTAAGCGTATCTCTTCCAAATCTCAAGAACTCAGACAGCAAAAACTTTCCACACGACATTTTATGAGACTAAGTTGATCGTGATTTTTTTCCAATTTTGTTATAATGGATTCGACTCTTATGGTATCGCAGTGTTTCTGCAGAGTTTTGGAATCGAGCCGACTGTTTCAGTTACAATTCGCACAACTTTGGTGTGGATATTCTATATTCTCTTCATTATTATTATGGTTGGTTTATGGTCAGATCACGTTGAAACACCAGATCTCGTAATATCACCGAAGTTAAGTAGCATTGTGCCCACTTGTACTGTAAGTTTTGATGTGCGTGTGGTGTATCGATAATGGAAATGGAAATCAGAGGACCGAATTCCACTTTCTGTCGGTTCCATTATATTCTCTTACGCATAAAACGAATCCACCTTTACTCCCTCAGTTATGGGTTAATCAGTAGGACATTTATAAATAAGCAATTATTAAGGAAAATAAACAAAACGTTCCTATTATCTAAAACATTTTATAGTTTAATTTAAATTACCTGCAAATGGTTCATAAGTCGTAAAAATCAAATACATCAATATTATTATTATTATTATTATTATTATTATTATTATTATTTCTAGAATTCTTTATTGGGGACTGTTAATAGTTACATGAAACCAAGTTGTTTATCATTTTCCACAAGTTTCCTTATAGTTCTTTTCGGTTCAGTCACTCTTACATTTTACCACCGATCATTTTCTAACTGGCGATTCTCAGACCTTATTGCTTTATTTCAGTCAAGTTCAGACAGTTGCCCATCAAGTGATGTTTACGGTGTTAATAGATTTTGTCGAGGGATACCAAAAGTTCCTAAAAGTCGTTCTTATCTGTTAGCTACTTCAACACGTTTTTAATTCCAATTGTTTTTAGACTCGAAAACAATTACGCCCCTCTCACTGATTGATTCACAAATCCAAGTCACAGTTGAAAAAACAAAACAAAAGAACAAACAGAAACAAAATTAAAAAAAAAACGGAAAAGACTCTGCTGTAAAGCTGAATCTTAACTTGAAATGAACGAATTTTTATATGTCCAGATTCTTTCCACATGTTGAATGTAACATTATGTATTACTTTATTTACATTATTCGGACTATTGTCTTCATCTTTGTCGCCATATTTATCACAACGTTTCAGCCGTTGTACGCTCTGGCCGGCTTCAGGCGGTTGGAATGTCGAATTGAACCCTTTGTTTCGCTCACTGGGGTAGACTGTTCTAGTTCCACGTGCTATGTTTGATGGATATCAGTTATCTCCTGTTAATTTTTCATGTGAAAGTTCTCCACTGCCTTAACCGAGTATTGAACTCACACTCTTTGGGTCCTGTCACTGGATCTAACCAACGCCTTTATCCACTTTAGACCGATTATGTATTACTGTTTGTTTGATAGTCTAATAAATGGCTCTTGAAGTTAGAATTATTTGCGATGTTTAAACTGGAATGAAAATTTAAATGTCTATGTCTATTACGATCGTGAGGATACAGTCAGCAAGGTGTCTTCTTGATTATAGACCAAGCATTTATTGAAAAATGAAGTACCTGAGATTATTTTAATAGATGACGGAAAATGCGACACCGAAATTCCTGAGGCGTATTGAAATAGTAAAAGATGTCTTCCAAAATCTAAGCAAAGTTTTAAGAAATAGTAAATTTTATTTTGCAAAGAAAAAAGTGCCAAAGTGCTACATAATATCAAACGTTTTATATGGTAGTGAATGCAGGACATTTTACTCAAAGATAAAGAGGAAGTCTGTCGCAATTAGAGATGAGATTGTAAGGGATACTGAGAATACTATGTACGGTGCATGTAAGCAAGAGATTTAATAAAAATGGATAGAGAAAGAACGATGGGCAAACAATTGCGTTCCTGGACATTTGCATCCCTAGACAAATGTGTCCCTGGATAATAGCGTAACTTTGATAATTTTTTGAAGTTACCTTTTTTTTTGAAAGAGTAGTTTAATATAGAAATTTGCACAACGATACCTTTAAACAAGCAAAAAGGTAGTTACCATAAATAAACAAAGAGCGAAAAAAAATATTTTTTAAAGCAAGAGAAAATTAAGCTAGCAGTTTCAGTTCACTCAAATAGTGCGTACCACAAATATCTAATAGATTCTGGATTTAAGAGATTATGTTTTTACTTGCAAACCATGTCTAAGTTCCGAAAATAAAACACTGATGGAAAAAATATTTGCGGACGAGGAAAATTACATTTACGACTAAAATCGCCGATGAAACAAAAGACATACTGACCTATCTTGCAACACTGTTAATACGTCATTGCATTTTTAAAAAATATAAACTTTTATTTATTTATTTTTATTCCTTTTTAATCATTTATGATGAATACTTATGCTTTTTTCAAGATTTATGGTAATTGCTTTTAAAAGCTTCAAAAAAATATCAGAGGTAGCCAATTATTCAGGGACGCCATTTGTCTAGGGACGCAATTGTCTTGTACGCAATGGTCCGATGGTCCGGGACGCAAATATCCAATACGCAACTAGAAATAGAAAGAACACTTTATACTAAGAATAAGAAAGAAATAGTTAAAATATCATGGACATATAACGAAGAAAGAAGTCTTGAAGAATTTGACATTAAACGGGAATCGAGAAGGCAAGGGGAACCAAGAGAAACAGCGAGAAACCGAAACATTCTTTTCTGTAAGTATATAGCAGAATAGGGAGAGGGAAAGATAGTAAATAGAGTTACAAGTAATAAGAAGTTGTGGAGATCCATAATCGCCCAAGTCCTGAAGAGACACGTTACATGAAAAAATAAAATCTTAGACAAAATACAACAACCACTCTTTATTGTATGACGTAGTACTCCCGTGATAGTTCCTGTTGCTTCGACCAATGAGAACAACTTCCGGTCACCAATCCAGACTCTGATCCATTACATGAGTCGCAGTAGTGACATCAACTTCTTGAGTTGTGGCTATTTTACCGGTAACTTACTCATGCTTAGCTTAATCATATTTTTGCATTATATTAGATCAAACGATTTGTTTTCTTTTCACTTTCAAAGTCCGCACCTAACAACGAAACGCGAATGTATATTGTATGAACGGTATTCTTTCTTTAGTCTCGTATGTTGTTATTACTGCCGCCTGACTGCCGCGGAAAATGTTACAGTCATACGAGGTCGCGTCTGCTCTTCGAGCCAATCAACAGTTGTCGATTGGCAGACATGACTACGCACGTACACATCTGAACTAATAATTATTATAATACTTATCGGTTTATGTAACCCGTGACATCATGTGTATGATTTATTAAATGAATATTTCAAAACTTACTCTGGAAGAGAAAGAGAGAGAGAACACAAATTCTAGCGGTAAATGCGTAAGAGGAAACATCTATCCAGGCTGATTTTCAGCAGTGATTGCGTTTGAATGCAAGATTATGAATGTTTTATTACTGTAACAAGAACGAAGAAAAGAAATAGTTGTTCTCCGAAATCCGTTCATCTCGATATGGTCATCGGACCGCACGGAACGGGAGAGCTGAAAGGAAAAAGAACGACAAACGCGATTTGTTCTCAGAGAGAGACTTTTATATAAACTACGAAATACACAAAACGATCCGTGTATATATATATATATATATATATATATATATATATATATATATATATATATATATATATATATATAAAAGTAGAACATAAATATAATAATTTATTTAAAAATATGATTTCAAAACGCGACATAAGAAGTCTCATGTTTCAATATAATTATTTATTTATTTATTCCAATAAAAATTCGCTTGAAGATGGAACAGAGCTCACTTCAACTCAATTTAATTTAAATAATTATATTGAAGTTTTCGGCTCTTGTTTTGAAATATGAGACTTCTTATGTCGCGTTTTGGAATCATATTTTTAAATAAATAATATATATATATATATATATATATATATATATATATATATATATATATATATATATATATATGTGTGTGTGTGTGTGTGTGTGAAAAAATATATAGAAAATAGGAATGAACTCGTTAGGTAAATAATCCAAAGTTCTTTATTATTTTTAAAAAATAGTGCTCGATACAAAAGTAGAGCATACATGTCCCACGTGGAGAACTACATATCACCTATGTCTACATAGCAAAGCAAAGTGTAAGAAGGAACAGAAAGAAAAGTCTTACATATAATTTGAAGATATTCCTGGCCTGGAGCAGACTCCAAGTTTAACCGGGCTGGATCCATCTATGTCCCAAAGGGAAACGGCATCATGTGTTTGTAAGCTGGAACGTCAGAATTAACTTCAGCCTGGGCCAAAGTCTCAGGCTAGAAAAAAGAACGATATCGTTTCTTTGCTATTCACAAACTGGAAATCAATTCCCGTTTTGGGTGACTGTATGGAGTAACGTCACGAAGCGGTCGTCATGTGACCACGGGACTTATCTTCCACCAAAGGGACATAAGTGCCTTCTGTATTCCTACATTATCGGGACCAAACGAACTTTAACGCTAACCTTTTTTATTCAGTTTATTTCTTTTCAGGTTTCTACACTAATTACCTAAGAATCCCAGAAAGGAAAATGCTAATTAAACATTTAATTTCTCTTTTTTATGTAGACTGGATTTGCGAACCTTCTGTATGTTATGCTTTGGAAATCATATTAAAAGGGATTGTCAAGGACCCGAATGAAGATAAAAGTTACTGAAAAAATAATGAGGAAAGAGGGCTTGGAAAATATGTTACTCACAGCACAAATCGAAGGCAAGCGAGACAGAAGTAAACAACGCATAACCTACCTAGCGAGGTTAAATAAATGAATGGCGGGAAAAGGTTTAGAAAAGAAAACAAAAAGTCAATATTTATGAAGAGTTTAAACGTACCGGAAATTCTGGAGAGCCATGAGCAACAAAGTCTTGAAGGGACATGACAAAGAAGAAGAAGAAGAAGAAGAAGAAGAAGAACAACAACAAGACAAACTTTACATGCACTTATTTTTAAATGCTTGATAAATGCAATTATCGCATTTTCGATGTCATGTTCAATCTTAAAGGTATCAGACGCAAAATAGAGTAACGCTTTCATATCTGGCCTGGTGCTGCCTAGACCTCAATGCCCAGCCCTGACAGACATCAGAAGCTATTATGAACTATTTTTCAACCTAAAGCCTCTTTCCCACAGACGAAACATTGGTAGCCACTCGCGACTTTATCGTTACTTGCATGGCAAATGCTTAGAGAAGCCACATTTCTTGATTCCAATACTTCAGTTTTTCAAAGTTAGGACAGGCAATCCCACGTACCATAGTTAACTTAGCCTCAATCTCTCCGTATTCCTGTGGTAAGAACTAATATCCACGCAGAAAGACTCTTCTCGAGAACTGTTACTTTGTGGAACAAACTCCCGTGTAGATCCTTCCCCAATCCTTACGAACTTAACCTTATCAAGTCTAGGGTTAACCATTTTTCATCTATGCACGTCTTACTTCCGCCATTTACGCCTCATTCAGTAATTCTCAGTCTAGAGCAGCTCTTGGGCTTTGTATAGGAAGAAGAATAGTAACAGAAACGTTTTCGAACCTGGGAGTACATGTTTGGCAAAAGATCATGATTAACGCGGAGCACCACACGTAGATTTTAGGTAGTATTGTTGAAGTTCCTTCAATATTTTATCATTTGGATACGTCAGGTATGCCCGATTGTGTATGTAAGGCATTATTTTCAAGTCAACCTATGTGAACACTGATGGTATTGTAGCCACAAATGAATCAACAAAAGAAAAAAAGCAAAAGCAAAATGCAAAAGGAAACGAAAACAACAATAAAAACTACTACAATTGTCGGTATATTGAGGTTTTTTTTATGTTTGAAGCGAGAATTGTGCTTACGTGTCTGTATGCACTGTTACAAGTAGTTCAATCATGTCCTTTATTAAGATATACGTTTACAAAATGCTCCGATATCGGTGAATTAGTTCAGTTCACGTAGTGTTGTACTGATTGCTGCCAGTGTTCTCAGTACATCTGAAGATTTTTGGATTTCCTGCAGATTTAAGTCTGCAACCAGGGAGAGTCGGAGTCATTCAGATCAAACATGACAGGGATGAGTTATTTTCTACTGACAGATATCATGGTTCATAAAACACTCCAATAAAATCTTTGTCTCTCACCCATACAACATCAAAGTAGAATAACGCTATTCGCTTCCATGGGGTGGGGGAATTTTAATTTTGAATGTCTGTAATGTTCGATCTATGGGATTACTATCCGTCACTGAACTAAATACGTCGGCAAGGAAGGAGATTATGTTTAAAAATAAACATTTGGTATGAAAAATAAATAGTTATTTTCATCATTAGACTGATGATTTAATAAAATACGTTGGTTTCTCTATTTCTCCTCTCTCTCTCCTTCTATCTGTTTGACATTCTGTCTCTCTCTCTCTCTCTCTATATATATATATATATATATATATATATATATACATATATATATATATATATATATATATATATATATATATATATATATATATATATATATATATATATATATATATATATATATATATACAGGGTAAATATCAGAATTTGGATCTATAACCATGGTTGGCAACTATTCTAGGAGAAGGAAGATGATTGGGATCCGCCCGGCTGTGTTGCCCATGAGACACCACTGTCGCTATGGTTGCAGTACATATCATTGGCCTTACTACCTTAAGCGGTCACGAGATTCGTGATCGTCAGATACATACATAGATACATACATACATATATATATATATATATATATATATATATATATAAAATAATGAGACCAATTTTACCCAGTATATCCAGCAAACTTTAGTGCTTTCATTACGAAAATTTCCAATTGTCTGTCCTCAAAGATTGATAAGGATATTTATAGCTTCCTCATATTCCCAAAATATTTTGATCACATATGTTATTTGTCTCTTATCCCAAAATGAGGACGCCGATGCTATGGCGAAAACACTTAGCCGAATAGATTTCGACAGTGTCATTATTTCGACATTTCCTGATATTATTCTACGTCTTAGTATTAACCATATATATATCTCCAAGATCTCCAAGCAACGACAAACTCGTACATACGAGACGCTGGAAGCGAAAGTCGCACCGTAGCTCATGACGTCACACATGAGCACGAGTTAGTGATAAAGCTTTCGCCTTACATAAGCCATTATCAAAGATGACAATTACATTACACTATATTAAACAATACACGGACAAAACAATAATGATGGTCTGTCTTTGTTTACATGTAACATTTCCAAAGCCAACTCGTGCATACGAGACGCTGGAAGTGAAAATCACACGGCAACACACACACACACACACACACACACACACACACACACACACACACACATATATATATATATATATATATATATATATATATATATATATATATATATCTATGTATGTGTGTGTGTGTGTGCGTTTGTGTGTGCTAGATAGTATTTCTGATAATTTAGACAAGGCCATTTCCACTACGCCCGTTTGTGTTCGTTGACTTTAATGTCCATCATGCCAGATAGCTTACGCACTCCATCATTGATCTCTCTGGTATACAAACACTAAACGTTTCAATTGCTCAATCTCTCACGCAATTAGTGGACTTCCCCAAGCGTTTTCCCCAGTAACCCTGTGGTACGCGATTCTCTTCTAGATCTCTATTTTGCCTCTATCGCTCTACCATACAGCTTTGCCCTCTTGGTAACTCTGATCATGCGGTAGTGTCGGTAAACATCTCCGGCCGTTCTCCCACAACCAAAAACCTCCTACTAAAAGAATATTTTTTCTGTTATCAACGAGCGGTTTGGGACTCATTTCCGTGATTTCCTTCGTGACGTCCCTTGGATTGAAGATTTTAATAATACTGTCCAAAAATACGCATCTGTGGTCTCCTCCTCGGTGAAAGCCTGCATCGATGCTTTCATTCCAGGGTTATCAACTGCATTCTCGGCCGCTATAGCACACAGGAATCACTTCTTCCGGCTGTACCAGCGTGACACGTCTTATTGCACCAGACGTCTCTTTGTCTCTGCTCGTCATGAGATCAAGCGTGTCCTCAAAGAAGCGAAGTTGCTGTTTACTGATGGAATGAACCAAAGTCTAGCATCCCCTCGCATGTTTGTTTCTAGAGATTATTGGCGGATCTGCAAGACTGTGCTGAACAACAGTAAGTCCCCAATCCCG